TTAGGAATCTCTATATGCAAACAGGGCAGCAGGTATAAAGCGATCCCAGTCTCTCGGGTGATCAGTACAAAGCCTTTTAATCATGGATTTTAACACCCCATTCAGCCTTTCAACTGCACCATTACACGAAGCATGGTAGGGACTCGTGTACAAGGCTTTTACAGAGAGTAATCTATGGATTTCACCCATTAGATCCGACTTAAATTGAGACCCACGATCTGACAAGATTTCCCTCGGTATACCGACTCGCGAGAAGATTTCTACTAAACTTTCGGCCACTGTGATCGTGTCAATATTTTGTAAAGCAACAGCTTCGGGGTACCTAGTCGCATAGTCTATTAGAGTGAGAATATACTTATTTCCTCTCTCGGAAGCTGGTGTAAAAGGACCCACTATGTCTATAGCTACACGTGAGAATGGCTCTGAAATTATGGGGAGGTTTTTCATCGGTACTCTTCTCACACTTCCTTTAGATGAAAACTTTTGACAGGTCGGACATGATCGACAGTACCTTTTAATCTGGGCACCTGCACCGGGCCAAAAGAACTTTGAAAATACTTTATAACTCGTCTTTCTGTGCGAGAAATGACCAGCTGTAAGGGAATCGTGTGCGAGATTCAGGACGTGAATCCGATACTTCTCGGGAATCACCAGTTGCTTACTCCCAATTTCATATTCATGTTTGCTTTTTAAACACACCCTGTAAATGAGATCATTGACAAGCTCATATTTTACCGTTCTAGATTTTACATTTACATTTTCGCCGCTTTTAACTTTCTCCCTTATGGTTTTTAGACTTGGGCAGTTCTGCTGTTCCTCTTTTAGATTACTTTTAGTTATGTTTAGATCCAAGAATTCAGGGCAAGCTAATGTTATAGATTTTGACTCCGATGAACGAGTTTTAACAGCCATAGCAACCGTGGGAATTTTAGTGTCACGAGATCTGTCGCGCTCAGACTGAACATCCCCTACCTCGGTAACAGCGAGTGGGGTAGGGTTAGGCTGCGAGCAATTGGAATCCGTGGCGGTGTCTTTACTGCCGTCATAAGCGAGCGAAAGAGGATCGTGCTCCCCAGGTAGTTTCACACCTGGAACGAGTCCAATCAGCACATCTGCAAATTTGATTGGTGCTGCAACCGCACTGATCCACCCTGTGAAAAATTTACTTTTAATAAAGCATCTTACTTTAGGGAATGAATTTGAAATGCCCAGATAATCATATACCTTGACTACAGGACCTAATTTAAATCTAGACGGTACCAACTTTTCGTTTACAATTACGGAGGAACATCCCGTGTCGAGTAATATTTCTGCTGGCTTATCAAACAACTTCCCATTTGAGTCAATTATTGAATTCTGAGGTTTGATTTCCGACTGAAATACAAAATTAACCTTGGATTCACTCTTAGTTTTGAAGTTCTTAGGGTTGTTAGGGCAGTTAGGCCTGATATGACCCGACTTCCCACATCCATGACACTGAATCTCATTTTCAATATTTGTAGACTGTTTAGTCACCGACCTTGAAAATTTACTTACTCGATATGAGTGTGCACTACGGTACCTATCAGCGGCTTCTGCCATTTCCACCGCAGTTTCACAGCCTTTCTCCTTCAGAAATACGCGGAGATCGGAACTGCAATTATTTAATAATTGTTCCCTGACCAGAAAATCAAACAAGCTACCGTATTTCTTCTCAACGTTACTCATAGTTATCCATCTATCGAGGTACTGCTCCATTCTAATTACTAACTGGACATACGTCTCCTTATCTTTACATCTGCTCTCACGAAACTTACGCCGATAAGAATCTGCGTCTACACAGTAAGCCCTCAACAAAGCCTCTTTTAAGCGAGTATAGTCTCTAACGATGTCATCTGGCAAAGATACGTAAACCTTAAGTGCCTGACCCCGTAAACAAGTACCTAGGTAAACATGGTAATCTTCAACCTTCCACCCGTGTAATTCCGCCAGACGTTCAAACCGCTGCAAATAACTATCTAGGTCATCCTGACCGTCAGCAAAAGTAGGCAGTCTGAGTCCTTCAAACATATGAGCATTAGTGTTGCTATGATTACCATTAGGACCTGACTGGATTTTAGCGAGTTCAAGCTCATGTGCTCGGCGCTTCTCAGCCTCGGCATATTCCATTTCCATTCTCTTTACCTCTCGCTCGGCAGCGCGCTCTTCCCTCTCAGCCTGATGCTGTTTTTCAATCAACTCGTGAGCGAGGTCTCCACTCAAGCCAAGTGATTGAGCCTTTTCTAAAATCTCTAACAGTGACATTACTATTAGATTACACTGCTATAACTAGCAGAAACAAAATACAAAATTAAACTCGTTGAAAGCTGAAGGCAAGTCAACACTTGTAAATCATTCAAAACTTTCAAGAGATATGAAAGTACATACTTTCACTAGGCCACCCACGACTTCGATATAAGATCGACAGTCGATCGCCGAGTCAGCGGAACCAGCGCCTATTAACTACCAACTGGTCCATAAAACCTGACTATATATATGAAGAGAAATACATCTTCTAAACTATCCGCTTGTAGGAAAAGTACATACACAATGAGAAACCCGATTGATTCACACACAATATCAGGTACATTGCCGCTACAAAGCGAATTACACAAACAATTTTTCACCTCACCTGCATCTCCCTTTTCACGAAAGCCTGGGTTTACATGACTCACCAAATAGTTCACAGGACATCGTTATCATAATTGTAAGATGAACAAATCATGGTACAGCCTGCAAGATACGACAAAAAACATAAAACACTAAATCATAAAGTCCACCTCAATATTGCAAAATAAAATGACGAGGATCCTACTCACTGCGCCACTTGTGGTAGGTTCTTTTAATGTTTGCCACTTTTTAGATCCTTCATCACTTCATTTAGCAGTATTAGAGGTGGATAAATAAACAATTATTCATAATCAGTAATATATTTACACATTTGATAACAAACATAAATAGGTTTTCTATAGAAGTCACTCCCTTGTTGTATATCCAGGGAAAACGGCAAGTCGTCCTGTTATGAGCGGAGTGGGGCGTTACTACAGCTACTCCTGTTTTGCTCATTCCCTTATTAGAGCTGCTTCACCAGACTTTGTTATTATATTAAAACTGAAAAATAGAGAAGTGGATTTTAAACTGAACAATAACTTTGATATTCCACAAGTTCCATGTTTAACAGGAAGTCCCCGTTCACAATATTCAAAACTCACGAGAATGCAGGTGAGCACCGTGCTCTCTGACAGGTGTGGGTGAAAAGACGCGCCTACTTTGCGCTCTCACCGTCATCGCCTTTGTCATACCTCAGGCGTTCGTGTAAGACAAAGGGAGATGCTTACAAAAACCCATATGAAACTTAAATAACCTTTTTTTTTATATATAAATATATTTACGTAATACAACAGGTTACGTAAAATTAATGTTTTGAATGATTAGACCAATCCATGTACACTGACACTAATGTATATCTATACATGAATGTGTATGATACATACGCATAGCGGGAACAGTCAAGGCCTTTAACAGAAGTCCACAGATCGGTCCTTATGTACGTGTTGTCGAGCCAGTATTCACTCTCAAACTGTTCTATAACCTGTGATGGCCCCCCTTTCGTGAGACGCCCTTCCTTCATTTATACGTCAACACTAGGGACAAGGCCTAATTCAGCACATACAAACACATGGAGGAACACGGCCATGGCATTATCCTTATCGCAACCCATGAAGAAACCGTCAACCAAGTCCTAGAGGGGATGATGTACGCGTGATGCTGAAACCAGCAGCTATGCCATGCCGATGCTGATAACAGCGGCTACACTCCCCCCATTGATTGAGCACGGAGTGTCTCAAACAACACAAAACTCTTGCCCGGCGCTGGGAACGGTATAGTCCAGGTTTTGGACTGGCTACAGATGTTATACACGTGATGCTGATGCCAGCGGGTACGCCATGCCGATGTTGATAACAGCGGCTACACTCCCCCCATTGATTGAGCACGGAGTGTCTCAAACAACACAAAACTCTTGCCCGGCGCTGGGAACGGTATAGTCCAGGTTTTGGCATAGACCGCCACCCCCGAGAAGCTCTTCTATATTCCTCATATACATCACTTCCGAAATGAGTTAGACAGAGCATTGTTACCACAGATGCACAGCAGAGCTTGAATCCTATATTTTCTCATATCCCTTTGCCTTGTCTTCATGGTTTCTATATCAGTAACAACAGGGGCAAACCGAACATCAGATCTCCCACGAATTAACGATCAGTTATAATGATCCTCATCTGTATTGCTGCCGGACAAGGGAAAAAACTCCACGCCCCAGTCACAGGGAGAGAATGCAACCTCTTGTATACAAAAATTGAACTCCTCCCAGAACTTTTGGCCGCCGAGATTAAAAAACCTCTCCAGGACTCAGCAATACAATGTGTGCTATGGCGTTGTAGGTTCTACCATATATATACCAGGATCGGGATACAAGCAATCACTCAGGCAAAGACAGCGACTAAAAACATTATGCCTTACACTTGGTAACGATCGTTTCTGTACTGCAAATGTGTATGTGTTTTTGCTGAATGATTATCTGAAGGTTCTCGTCGAAGTTTTCATCTACAGTTTTTCCAAAGGTTTCACTAGAATGCCGATGCAACATGGCTCCACTCATTAAGCACCCTCACGTATCAGTCATCAAACAAATCACTATGCACCAGAATGTCAACTATTAAGACAGGATCCTTTGCTACCGATGAATGTCAGCCAAGGAGGCAGTGATTTCCAGGCAGTGGCGTAGACATCAGTTATGATGACAAGTCAGGACACATCTTTCCATGACGTCATCCCATCACACAGGGAAGTCATCAGGGAAGTAATCTGGCAGGAACTCTGCATCGCATCATGTTCTCGGGATCTGCAACAGCAAGGATACGGCAGAAAAACGGAACAGAGACTCTATTACGAGCACGGGCAGGACATGCATGAACACAGATTTCTCTGGAGTGCTCAAATATTAGCAGAAACTTTGTGATCATTAATTAGACCCATTATTTTCCTCATCACACGAGGACCCGCTATTTTCCCCACCACATGAAGACCTGTTAATTTCCTCATCCCATGAGGACCAGTCATTTTCCTCATCACATAAGGACCCGTTATTTTCCTCACTACCTGAGGACCCGTTATTTTCCTCACTACCTGAGGACCCGTTATTTTCCTCATCACATGAGGACCCGTTATTTTCCTCAATGCATGAGGACCCGTTATTTTCCTCAATGCATGAGGACCCGTTATTTTCCTCAATGCATGAGGACCCGTTATTTTCCTCATCACATGAGGACCCGTTATTTTCCTCACTACCTGAGGACCCGTTATTTTCCTCACTACCTGAGGACCCGTTATTTTCCTCAATGCATGAGGACCCGTTATTTTCCTCAATGCATGAGGACCCGTTATTTTCCTCATCACATGAGGACCCGTTATTTTCCTCATCACATGAGGACCCGTTATTTTCCTCATCACATGAGGACCCGTTATTTTCCTCATCACATGAGGACCCGTTATTTTCATCACATGAGGACCCGTGATTTTCCTCATCACATGAGGACCCGTTATTTTCCTCATCACATGAGGACCCGTTATTTTCCTCACTACCTGAGGACCCGTTATTTTCCTCAATGCATGAGGACCCGTTATTTTCCTCATCACATGAGGACCTGTTATTTTCCTCACTACCTGAGGACCCGTTATTTTCCTCAATGCATGAGGACCCGCCATTTTCCTTACCACATGAGCACAATCGATGCTCTGAGTATTGGAGTCTTACATATATAGCAACGCCATACCCACTATAGCTTGCATCAGCGAACAATGTAATTGTACATAAGCACCTTCAGCTTGCACTTTCCTTGAGCATCCTGGAACCTTAGTATTCTCCAGGGAATCTATGGTTTTATCCATTTCCCATACTCCTTTGATTCCCCATCAGGCATGGGCCCATCCACATCAGTCCCCTTCTGTACAAGGGGTCGCACTAGGAACCAACCATTGACAGCGTTCCTCTTCCATTTTCCTCTCTATCTCTTATATTTCTTTTGAACTCGAAGCTATCTGTGGTGACCGACCACACGAGTCCAAGAGCCCCCTCTGTGGGCAAATTCTGCATATCTAGATGTTCTTCTACAAGCTTTTCCCGACTATACGGGGTCGCTGAAATAGTCCCTCAATTGACGCCTTTAGTTGTTTCTATCCTGGACCATCTCTCTGTTCAATCCTGCTTCCCTCATATCCCAGCTCACACAATCCTTCCATCTCATCCTTGGTCCTCCCACCCCTCTTCTTCCGGGGACCCCTCTTCCTGCTGACACACGCTTCAGGCAGTGCTCCTCCTCTCTTTGCTCGACATGTCCAAACCAAAACTAATCTCCTCTCTTTATCTTCCTGGCCACCAACAGAAACGTAAGAAATCCTTATGCTTCTCAGGAACTTCAACTTGATAAAACACACTCAATGTCACCCATGATGGCTACAAGTTCCTTTCTAAATCTGAGTAACATGTTGTGAAGCTTGGTAGCTAGATTTGGACCGTGAAGTAAATGATCATTCAATGAGCCATCTAAGTACTTAGCTGAGCAATCAAAGACCACTCTCAACTTCGCTGTTCTTGGGTGGTATACTCCATGGTGAGGAATATACCATACCTTTCCGTCATTTCTGCTTATCTCTGATTCAGGCCCTTGTTCAACGTATCCATTGTCATTTAATTTTGCCATAAAAGCTGCATATTCTTAAGCAAATCCTTGGATTTTGCTGAACCTGTTTTCAAGATGCTGCAGTCTTAATTTTGCATAATTCTGATTATTTGGAATCTTCACCTCCTCGTCATAGAATGGTAACTCCATCTCGTAGTTGCCATCCACAAGTTTCATTGAATCTTGAACTTTACTTAAAAACAACTTATCCTTTAATGAATTTTCCCCTTTATCATCTATTATCAGTTCTGGGAACTCCATGTTGATTAGTTCTCTTACCAAATGGTCGAGCCCTTTTCGTTCTTCATTCTTACCAAGTTCTGCCGTACCAGTTTTGTAAGATGTTACAAGTTCCGCTCCCTGTCACTTCAGTAGACCCCATATTACCCAACCTATTCTTGTTTAGGCAGCAACTGGGCAGTATTCCTTTCCTGATACAATTTTTAATGGTCTATATGCTTATAGGTTATTGTTTCCGATCAACGGATTCACTTCTCCATCGGATTGTGGAATCTCTACGTCCTT